ATTAAAATTTCGTAAATTCCTTTCTTAAAATGGATATCAATTTACAGTTAGATATGTGAAGGATGTTTAAAAAAGAATGCAGTAAATAATCGTTTTTAACAAAATTTTTTCTATTATTTTTTTTTTAAATGTTTTTGATAAATCGTTCGGCGTTTTTTTTTTCTTTTTTTTTGTGACATACCATTGTGATAACATAGAGATGGTAAAAAAAATCAGTGTAAAGTTAAAGCATGCATTATAATTGACTGATTACATGAAACTCTTTCAAACGGAAGATTGTTTTTTTTTTCTTGAGACTTAAATTTTTAAAAAACAAAAATCACACCATTTCTAAATGGTACTTATCTGACATAAATATGCACCAAATTTAACACAAGAAACGATTTTCTGGAATGAATTATTGATAACAGCAATTACTTCTAGTTTAATTTGACAAGAAAAAATAATATTGTTAAATTTTATACAAGATTTAAATCAGTCTTTCCGAAGTAAAATTATTAATGCTTAGGTCATAATGTGATAGTTTTGTACTATTTTTTATTTCTCTTTTTCTTATTAAAAATTTGGTATGAAAAATGTTAAATAATTTTTAGCATGTTTGTTGATAACCCTAAAGATAATCGGACAAAAGTTATTTCAGTTATGCGGAATGATGAATAATAAATTGGAACTAATTTGAAATGTTAATTTAAATGACAAATATGTGTTTCAGTTCAACAAATAATAATTTGTGTGATTGCTGAAATAAAATTACCGTACTATCAGAGCAAATGGAAGAACAGGATGGTGAAAACAAGTTTGTAATGCTTTTCATTCTGTTTCTTTCGTATTTTTTTTATCGAAATTTTATTTCTAAAATTTTTTTTGGTTTTGTTTTAAAACAATTGATGTAAATCAAAAAAATTCATTTAATCTATTGTCATTACTTTTAAAATTATAAAATGAAGCACAGTAAGTCGATATCGAAGGAGAAATAAAATTTTGTCATCGTTTTTTTTTTTCATACCCTATTAACTTTTTGTCACATAATTAAATGTTATAACGAGTAATTATGCGAAAATTTCCTGGAATCTTTATGATCTTACTTGATTTACATTCATTTGAATGATGACAATTTTTCGTAAGATTTAAAATTGATATATAAATTGATGTATATTGGAAATTTAAAATTAATTGATGTAATTGAAATTTTAAATTTGGTGTGTTAAATTATTAAATTATATTGAGAAGAGTTATTATAATGATTTGATAATGTTTATTCGGCATTTTTTCTCTTACAAAAAATGCGATTTAAATTTTCTTTGTTAACAAGAAAAAAGAAAATGTTGTTCATTCACGATAATTGCTATGTCTTTTAATCTATACATATTTTATTATCATTGAATGTACAACAAAAAAAAAAGGTGAAACTGTAGAAATAATTTCTTACTATTTATAATTTCGCATATAATAAAAATTAATATGTAAAATATATCTGAAAAAGAAAATAGTGAAATTACTATGTGAAATTTATTTTGAAAATTTTGAATTTTTCAATGATTCCTATTTATTTATTTTATTTATGCTTTCTTTTTTTTGTTTTTTCAGAAACTTCCATATCGAAGTAAATTAACGGAGCGTATTGCGCCCGGTCAAACATTAATCGTAAAAGGCAAAACATTGAATGATGCAAAAAAGTTTGTCTTACATCGCCAATTTAAATTATTCCTAATATTTGTAAAATATTATCTGATAAATTGAATTATTATATTAACTTAAATTATCACTAATTATTGTAGGTTTGGTGTTGGGTTACATCGAGACAGTCCAGATTTTAATGGCGGTGATATTCCATTGCATATTAGCGCATGTTTTAACAAAGGAAAGGTTTGATATTTTACATTGAAATGATAATTTTTGACTGCCTGTAATAAGGCAAAAATTAAATTTATTAACTTTCTCACTGAGTATTTCATATTTCTTATAAAATTTTTTCATCACTTATTTTCATTAAAACAAAAAGAAAAATGAAACGAAATTTCTTTTTAAAAAAAATACAGGAAGATTGTAATAAAAAGATCATTTTATCAATTTTCCTTTCATTTACTGCAATTAAACAATTAAACATTATAAACTCAATACTGAATTCGGTGAATTAAATAAATGAATGAATTTAATTTCAGATAGCATTTAATACATTTTCGAACAATAGTTGGGGAAAAAAGGAGAAACAGAAGTTACCATTTAAAAAAGGAAATGCATTCGATTTACGAATTCGAGCACATAATAGCAAATTTGTGATTTATTGTGATGGTGTAAGTTTATATCAATCTTAATTTGGATTAGGGTTAAAACAAGATAATACTGATTTCATATAATAGCATATC